AATATTGTATAATGAGTGTGGTAATCATTAACACCAATTATAACCCCTACATTGATTTCAGTTTGATAGGCATTTTTTTAAAACAAAATATTTGATTTTATGAAGTATGTTACGGGCTTGCTTTGATATTTCTATATTAAAAATATATGTTTCCCGTAGATACGTGTTATTCAGGATTGAGAAACCCCCTATGGATGACTAAGTACTGTCCATGTAGGCCTAATCTAATTGAAAAAAGGCAAACGAGATCAGTCAAAGTTCAGAGACTATCAAGCCATTTAATATCATGATTTAAATGAGTCTCGTAGGTTACGGTACTTGATGATTCAACTAATTTGGCATGGGAATATTCAGGTAAATCCCAGTGAATTGGTAATAACTGAGAGCAAATTCTTTGTTTTTCGACGGGAACTTTCGACTTACCTACTGCAAATTTGTAAAGTAAAATTTACTCTGTGCATTTTAAAGAGCCAAATTTAAAAAAACCACTTTTGGAACAGGGGTTTCCATGTTCGTTAGTAGCTTTAGTCTCTAATTAGAATAATAAAGATATAAAGGACATTTGATAATTTGGGACCACAGAAAAGGGGTCTTTAATATGAGGGGGCTTTAATTAGAGGTCAAGGAAGACCTGTATTAGTACAAATTTTGAAAATTAAAAATAATAGTAAACATGGAAAGTCAAAATCTCAAACAAACAAACATTAACTAATAGCAGTCAGTTCTTAAAACATAATAAATATTACACAGAATAAATATGACAAATGTCTAAAATGTTAAAATGTTTAAGGTATTAAAACGTGTACTTATGTCTATTAAAAGTGAAATAAAATTTACATGAAAAACATAAGTCAATTAATTCACTGTACGCGAGGCCATGATACGTACGGTAAATGCCAAGGCATTGAATAAAAAAATACAAACAACTTGAAATGATCATGTAGGCCTAGGGGCCTATTCGTTTTCTATTTGTCACTGTTCGACACGATTCTGTCAAGCACGACATTACTCCATGTCCAGGGTAAATAATTCTTGCTCATCTTCTTATCTTGTGACTCATCTGATTGTGGACAGGTTCGAAGTTTCTAAAGCAAAACACGACAACGATATTTCGTTAGGACTGATGTACAACATGCTCTGTAAAGTCGACCTATTTATTCACTTGCACAATAAAATAATATAATGGGTCTACTAATAACTTTGACATATGATTGTATAAACCACAATACGACTAATGTGATGCAATGTGATTCTAAACCTCAACATAAAGGATCAATACGCATCGCAAGGTAATGATGTGACTCATCACAATACAATTGCTGCTGCCTATTAAGAATAATGCAAAACATTATACATAAGCGCAGTTGGGCAAAACATATGGTAAACACTGTGCGTTGAACCATACATATATTTTTTACACATGTTCAATTCCATCAAGCTGTTTATTCTTGGAAATACAGGTTAAGCCTGATTTCATTAAAATCGCTACACTGTCGCTACAGTGTTTTTAGTGCAACCATTGCTGTACTGATCGCAATCGGGAAGGCTCCCCAATTCGATCGACCAATCAGCATCACCGAAAGTTGTCGGCGATAATATGCAGCGATTGTATGGAAACCAAGCTTTATAACACCTACAGAGATCCTGATGTCTGTCCTGTGTTCAACAACAGACCATAGTCGAAAATATAGGGTTTGCAAATTTCTAAGTTAACGTACCAATTAAGTTACCTTAACTTAAAACTCCTATTTACGAGTGTACCCTACATTATATTGCTCGTTGTACATTATAAAATTATTACATATCATTGTAATCGATCAGAGTATCTTCGTCTTCTCCACTGACCTACAATATAGACTCGGTGGTGAGCATACTTTTCCAGACTTTCATTTCCTTGGTTATTCTGCTGTATTAATTTCATATTATTAGAATAATGTCTATGTATAAAAGGGAAAATAGAGCAATAGAGGCTATGGGCTAAAAATTAACGTGTATTGACCAATTCATCAGCAGAGGCCAACGCTTCACTGCAACTCAGAGGCTCAGCCCAAGTTCCCTTGTTACAAATTTTTGCCAATTCAGTTGTCTTCACTTTACGTAAATATCATACATTACCTGTACAACATTAACCATATATTAACTATCATACCTTGCATTTAAGATTCATATTGTACTTTTTACTTACTAAGACGAACAGAATATTGTCGCCAACACAAGTGATTGTTTAAACGACTTTCATAATACAATACAGCTAGGTAGAATGTACGGTATACACAAACACACCGCTCCACACCCTACCTTTGGCTGTTATGAATATTGTCAGTGACTACGAAGTTAACTAGACTTGTGGTCTATTAAAAGGGCAGCAACCTGAAATTATTTGGATATTTTACGCTGACACACAAGGTCTGTTGTTTTAGACATTTGTTTTGCGTTACATAAACAAATATGAAATATGTGATACTAGTTATCAGAGAAGGTGCAACCAATTTCAAACGTGCAATCTGTTCACATCTTGCTTGTTTTTCATTATCGGCATTTCCTTTCTAACGGGGTAAACACGGAAGAGAAATTAGTGATATTTCAGATCAGATAAAATCCCGGCCTCATGCCATGAAAATTTATTATACATGGTATTTGTATTCAGTTTTCATAAAACTTTTTTATAAAATTAGTAGGCCTAATCGGCTTATGACATTTGATCAGATTATCATTGATGTGTTTTAGCTTGGTTCAAATTTGTTCTTTTGGTATGAAACGCCCACCAACTTTGTATAACAGAATGAAGCATTGCACATACAGCCTGAGGTTGCACTACATCTACTTATGGAGGAATGGAACATACAGAGTCCAAAAAACACGTCCATTCTTATAGTTATCACAAACAATAATTTCGTAGAAGTTACTAATAAAACGAAAGTTTTAATTTGAAATGACAAGTACCAAAGTAATATTTATTTTTTTAAACATATTATTATTATCATAATTCTGTTTCCTGGGCGAGGTTAATCGTGATTATATCGACTTATCATCTACCAAATCTTGAGCTGTCATAGAACTGACGTCATCTGAAGACATAATCTATTCAATATATACATATGGAATAGTGCCAGAATAAAGTCACAGACTACAGTAATAGCAGTATTCTATATATAATATATGTTTTAATTTCCGCACCAGCCCTTGATGTTAGTCATTGCAGGATTACAGAAATCTAGAAAAAAATTATATGCGCCTGCAAATATAGGCATATTCTTTAGTAGTAATGCAAATGATATATATATATATATATATATATATATACTATATATATATATATATATATATAAATCAAGAGAGCCGTTAACACTGTTATATATATAAATCACCATTCGAGTCCCGCCAGAGGCATTTTATTACACAATTTCTTTATTCATTTATTTACAGGACTACATTCGTTGTGAGCTATGCTACAGGATGTATTATTATGTCCTTTATTCGAACACTGTATTTACTTTTCTTTGATGATTTATGTACAGTATATAATTTAACAGTGTTAACGGCTATCTTGATTTATATGTCCGTATATGCAATTATTTGTTTCTAGCCGTACTTATTGTGTAATGGAATGTATCTGGTGGTATTTGAATCTGTTCAACCATGAAGTAATATTAAAATTATTTTAAATATATTTGAATTGTTTTCAGACAAAAAATGTCCTAGAGACCTACTACAATAATAGGCCTATGCAAACTGAAACAGATTCATTTGCAACATTGATAAAAACTCGTCGGATGACGGTAGAAAATTTGAGTAAGTAAATTTCCATTTATTGTTGTGTTTATAAAAAAAAACATTGGTTCAACAAGAACTATATTAATTCTCAAGGCTCTTGTGACAAACGAGCACAAATATTGACATGTTTCTTCAACAAAATTAAGACAATGCTTTCTTTGCAGATGTATTTCGATTGAATTATGGGATTGAACGTGATTATTCTGTTGTTAAAGCTTCTACTTCCTCTGGATTAGTAACACATTTCTTCCCATCATACTTTACAATCCTTAAAGTATGCATAGACTGACGCGTGATATGCACGCGATTATCATCTACTGTTCTAAAGTGTGTAAGTATAGTCATGTACATCAGTACCTGGGGCAACTGTATTACTTTAGTTCAGTCCAATAGCATATAAAGATTAGTCTATGTTACCAGTTAGTCCTAAATTGGAATTTGTACTAGTATTACGGTACAATTGGCAAATTTTCCCACAAGCAACATTCATCATGAGTCATCTTTCCCCTTGTTGTTACGATTGTATGTTGCTATTAATGTTGAAAATTAATATTATAATAACAATAAGAATAATGATTGTTTTCAGACGATAACAATCGTTGTGAATAATGATAGTGTTAGTTTATCCTTTATGGGCTTACAGTCATTTATCAAAAATTAAAAGCTACCAAGTATAAAAACATTTTAACAATGTATAAATTTTATATAAAAATAAATGAATAATAATTATTATAGAAATCCTTGATCCCTAAAAATGGAAACTTCTGATTAGATGTTTGATGGTTAAATATTATAGTTTATTTTCAATATTGGGCACATTCTATCTCATAGTTGAAACTTAACTGTTTAAGTGTTAAATCGTAGCAAAAACCTTCAATATGAGAAGCCCAATCACTGAAATATATTTGAAGTTTCCTGGAAAATAATTAAGGGTGAAAGATTTCACTTCCTGTATTGACTCTTTAAAGAGTTTTAAATTTAAACATTCACAAATATCAGCAACATAAGCTATTCTGTTATTATTATTATTATTATTATTATTTAAAAATACATGTTTTCTTATTGTGTTAATTCTCATTTTCTTAAAGAAAAGTGAATTGCTTTAATTAATCTAGTTCAAGTCGTAGTTCACAAAATCCGTTCCTAATTGTCAACTCTCAGTCACCGATCACGCAGACGATTGAACATGGTTGAGGGAATGCGACCTCGGAAGGGGCTGTTGTTGAACTTAGATGACGTATTATTTTAGAGTTGTCTCGAGGACAGTAGTTCTATACACAATTCATTCGGCAGTATGACTCGAACGAATACAGTTGTTGTTGTGGCGATCTTAGCTTATTGTACTCTGACAACCGCCACTTTCTGGAGGATTGAACCCCGCAATGAAACGGTACTGATAGGCAAAACAGTTACATTGCATTGTGCTATAAACTCTACGCATAACGGAAAAGTTTACTGGATTGTACTCCTTGACGGTCAGTACCTGAGCATCGGGAACTCGATAAGGGAGAAACTAGACCCTAATATTCGAGCTAGGTACGCTATAGTTGGTAATAGTTCTGCAGGGGAATTTCACTTGCAGATAAAAAATGTATCTAAATCAGACGAGAAGACATTTCTTTGTGCATACATTGGAACTACACCATTACCACCAAGACAGGCTAAATTAACTGTTCTTGTACCACCTAGTAAAGACTTTCCAAAATGTGTAACAGATCCTCCCGGGGAACTATCTGTGGGGCAGGAGGTAACAATAGCCTGTATTTCTCTAGGAGGAGATCCTCCGACTCGTCTAGAATGGCAGCGACATGATGGTAAGCCAAGTATTTCAAAGGTTGGTCGCTATGCCCACACGTTTACTTTAAAGCCAAAGGATAATGGTATGGTGTTTACTTGCATTGGACGGTCAAAAGCACTTGATAAGCCACGCTCGTGTCAATTAATGCCACTACGTATTCCCCCAGTAGCGGTTGTGCACCAGCAGTTTCAACCAGCTCGTATCGGTATGGCGGCTAGCTTTTCATGTAAAGGTGAAGCAGTACCGCACGTGAAACAATACTACTGGACTTTAGGAGATCAGTTGATCACTAAAACTCCAGGTGTGTTTGATCTTCGGGATAATAACCGTACTCTCGTCATCTTGAAATCTCGGGGCGCTTATAATGGAACTGAAGTTACATGTTTTGTTGACACCCCTTCTGGTTTGAGTACCAAAGCTAGTACTAAGTTTATTCTTTCAGATTCATTGCCTATCGAGGAGTTACTGTACAGACAGGATTTCTTCTTTTATCTCATTAGTGCATGTACAAGTGCACTATTTATAATTTTAATTATTGCTATCGTTGTTGGATGTTTACTGAATCGTTCGTTACGACTAAAACAGGCGGAAGAAAAACTAAACGCGCAAACGAAATTAAAGAATGTTGATTATGAACTGACTCCTTTACAAAAAGAACTTACTCACTCTGACCATATGCGCTCTACTCATAATTTATACACATTTGATCCAGACCCACTGGAAGAAAGAGAATATGCATGCATTGGAGACTTTACACCAAACGATGAAGAAAGTGGTTATCTTGTTCCTAACACAAGGCATACACCGCCACCTCCTCCGCCACCGCCCCTCCCATTCAACAAAAAATCAGTATCATCATCCGTACCTATGTCTACATTTCGACCTCACAGTGAGGTTGTGAAAATGGCACAACTTGTTAGTGCGCCTCAGTTGACATTGACGGCTCATAACAATAGGCTGCCACCAATTGCCGAAAATTACACGAACTATAAACAGAGAAGCAATCGAATGAAATATGTAGATAAATCATTATGTACCTATAAATCGAATCAAATAACTGAAGTCGAAAAGCCAGCACCTGAAAACTCAGAATTACAGACGCGGTTACATCATCCCATGGCGAATGATTCTAGTCAATCAAGGGATGCTGTCGTATGCACAAAATTTCAGGTTGAACGCGAATCATCCGTCGTTGGGAAATCATTATCAAGACAAACACCACAAACACAAATTACAGGAAGATGAAATTGTAATCATACGTAACGAGATATTCGTAAGCATTAGCAATTATGCTTAATATACCTTCTACAGTATGTGAATAAGAATTTCTAAAAAGTTGATTGCATAACGATAAAATGCCAAGAAGCTCGTGATAAAACAGCGGATATGAAGCATAACGTGAATTGCAAATATTTCAACGAAGACATTCAGGCGAAAGGCAAGCAAACGACTGTTGATGACCCAACACTAGGAGGGAACTAATCGTGTAAGAGGATGTATATTTTTGCCAGTAACATTTATAAGCATAGAATAAATATGTTATTGCTTGAAGTAATTAATTAATGGAGACAGGTACGATGTATCTGTTTTGAAACAACAACGAAGAGTGTAAAACAGCGTATAGTAAACATAGTTCACTACATGACCATGAAGATTATTGCAATTCATTACAATTTGAATAATGAAATAGGCCTAAATCACAATGATAATGGAAAAACGATCGTCGAATAAAAAAAATGCAACAAACACAACAACGTAGATATGCAGAACGAGTTCATGACACTGATGAAACTTATAATGCTATCAACACATTCCTAAAATGTGTTAACATACGTGTAACATGCGATACAAAGACATGTGACGAACCCTTATGGAAACAGTATGTATTTCTGCTGGGACGTGACGAAGTTGGGATATTGATCAATATAATAGAACCGCACAACTTGCAGGACAAAACAAGCGGAAACATTTTGATCTATTAATTTTGTCATACTATATCCCACACACTATGTGATTAAGTAGTAAACATGTAGATATCGGACGTGCAGCGGACACGTGTTTCAACTATGGACAATCGCAGATGTTTCTATTTATTATAATTTCTGCTGTATTATTTATCCGCAGGATGGATTAAAGAATGATTTATAACTACCATAAAATGTGTGTCGCTGTGGGTAGACCAAATTATGTGTTTTGTTCATCAGTACTACATGAAAAGGCATTTCTAATTCTGATTTTCTTTAGTTAAGTTTTTCTCCCCTTTTCATTACTTCAATGTTCTCAAAAATTAATTCTGTAAACTTTTAGTAATGATTAAATCAAGGGCATCGGCATATGCAGCAGCATCAACAACATTTGGCAGTTTCGATTAGGCCTACGTTAAAGCATCTGTTAATACAAGCTTGCGAATAGGCCTAGTATATTATAATAATATATAAAAGATACAAGTTGTAGATGGATGCCGTATGTAATGAACAAGGACCATAAACACAATAAACCTAAAATACGGCAATATAGCATCAGGTGTGTAATGATCACAGTTAAACAAAAACAAGTACTATACTATATAGGAATATACAATAAAAATGTATAAGTTGTGCATTTCTAAATTTGAATTGAAGGTGGATGCTGGCTACTTGTGTTCTCGAGAAGACACGTTATTTTATGTTGTTTTAACCTACCTAGACACACTCGTGCTTTGGGTGTCGTGTCTGATCAATATTATGAGCTATATTAGCTATATCAATACATCATATTTCCCAAAATATTTATCTACTTTGATGATAAACAAACAATACCAGAGGGTTCGCTTAACTAAGCAAAATCGTCTTTTTCAAGCGTTCTCTTCTAAATGTGATATGATTAACGATTTTAGAAACACGACCATAATTGTTTTCTTTTGTTTTCAGAATTTTAAGTGTTTTTATTTTAATATAAAATACTATCAAGTTAAATTATACTCGTGTTTATCAGTTTGAGCACACGTGTAGCCAGGTACAAAATAATCATAATCGAAACTAGTATGTAAGAAATTGATTTTATCAAATTTTCATTAAATTATCTCTATGAATCTAAAAGGAAAAATCGAGAAGCCTATGTAAACTGTCGGTAAAAAATAAAATCACCTCTCGAATTCAAAGATAACGTTTAATTTGTTCAACATACGTCATAATCGAAATATACGAGGTGATGAACACAGCCAACTAACCCCGCGGTTGGGTCACGCTTTTCTTACTTTCTATTTTGCATCAAATATTGTGCTTACATGCTTACATAGAGAATGAGGGTGTTATGTTAAGTGCCTTGTGAATTCAAAAAAATGTTTAATGTTGTATGCATTATCAACAAATGATCTAATTAGTTGATCTATTTGTAGAAGCGTTTGGCGCAACAGTTGTGGCACGGGCTCTCAATCTTGAGTTCGAAACCCACTTTGCAAGTTGCTTGTGTCCTTGGGCAACGGACTTCATCTACGTGGAGCCCAGGATATGTTCCATAGATGTTTGATCCAGTGACCGGGGCCAGTGGGTAATGATGTAAGCGCATAAAGGCAGATTATTGCAATATGCGCAATATAAATGTCGCATTACTATTATTAATATTATCATGTAATTGCAGAGATGTAGATATCGATACATAAATGTAAATAGAATATGTCTTCTTATGTATAAATAATTTTGTTAAAATTATGAACACAAATTTAGATTATGTTGGTTTTTGTAAGCTATATTAAATAAAGATATGTCTACCATTTTAATATTTGTATATTATTTGACTATTTGAAAACATGTTGTGTTTAATTTTATTTGTTTTGTTTAATATCATAAAACAGTATACAGAAAGACAAATCAACTCTTATTTTCAAAGGGATCGATATGCCTACTATTTACATTCTAAATACTAGATGTAATTTTACAATGATTATAATAGAACCCTATTATGTTCATTTTTAGTAGAAATAGGCCTACCCAAAATAATTGACACAACGACCAATCAAAATAATAAAGCAGTTACTTAACAAACGATTAATTTTTATGATAAATGTGATTAAATCTCAGGGCCAAATAGGAAGAGCACCTAAAATGGAGGTGAGAAGTTGGCATTAAGGGGAAAATCACATTTTTACTATTCAAAGCTAGAGAATTAGGTAAAAAAAACATTAATTTTAGTTTTTAAATGTTTTTAAGAGTGCTAATTTTGCTTCAGAAATATACAACTTTTTCTTATTATATAGCAATAGCAATATACACATACACGCGTACACATACACACACCCCACCAACACATACAATATATGTATTTATATAATATTATATATATATATATATTATATATATATATATATATATATATATATTATCAATACGTATATATTACCAACCACATCTTAATAAGAGTAGAGTAGTCCGGATAGTAAAGCTGACATAAGCTCACACAATCACACTTTATATACGGTAACAAATTCGTGCATGGGCATTATGATGTCATATTACACCCAAATAATTATTGTCATACCAAGTGACATTTATTTGTCATATCAAATTTGATAGTGTGGGCAAAGCTTTATGGGTTTGGCACTGCTGACATGAAAATTCATTGTTCTCTTAAACGTAATAAATGATGATAAAATCCACAAGTGAGCCTATACATACACGTCCTAAATGAGATGGGCGCCTAATAGATGAAAACAAATAAAACGGGTAGCACCGTGTTTTGACTGCTGACTTGAAAATGCATTGTGCTGTTAAATGTAATAAATGACGATAAAATCCTCAAGCAAGTCTATGATACATACACGTCCTAAATGAGATGGCCACCTAACAGATAAAAACACATAAACGGGTATCACCGTGTTTTGACTAACGAATTTTTTTTTTTGCTTTATCTTGACTGGATTGTTGTTCCTATGTATTTTTGCCCTCGAGCTTCTACTGTGAAACCCTAAGCCAGAATCCGGGAAAGATGGAGGGAGTAAAACAGTGTTTGGCGTAATTATTGGCACACGACAAAGGTGGCCGGAAAATGCGAATGAGACATGACTATAGTTATAGTTATACAGGTATGCCCCAAAACAGGCACACCCTATGTGGTTGGCGGCCGAACTCCAAATATTCAAACTGTGGGTGGTGGGAGGGTAGGGATCGGAAAACACCTGAGACTGCCTGACAAGATGGCTGTCTTCTTGTTAGCTGTGTGTTAAGGATGAACTCGCTTGCTAAGCTGCACAAATAACTGTTGCGCCAAAACACGCACCAGAGGAAAAATCCAGACAACAAGTAAGACGAGCGCTCGGTGCAAAAAAAACCCCGATATTTTCTTATCATGCACACGAAAAGCTACCTTGAACTAGCGAAAGCTTCCTAAAATAAAAATCGTTAGTCAAAACAAGGTGCTACCGTTTTATTTGTTTTTATTATGATAAATACGGCTCACATTTCTTCTCACCTAACAGATAGCCGGTCATAATTATGACAATCGAGTATAGTCAGGTTTCAATTATGCAATAATTATTAAATTCATCCGAAGTATCTTAAGTATCCTAATGATCAACCGCAGTGAAACAAGTGGGTGCCGTGCTAGCTTTGAGTAGTCAAATTGTTATGATGTAAATGTTCGAACTAATGTTTATTACAGTTGTCTCTAAAAGGAAAGCTTAACGAATTATATCCACATTTCCAGTCTGTTCTACTTAGTTAGGCCTACAGACATATTGAACAGGCTCATTATGGAATTAAATTATTGTTCGACCATGTATCTTTTAAATCGGATTGGACAATAAGCCGGAACATTGCTAAAACAACAACGTCGACGTGTCTGGAAGCAGCAAAGCATAACACCAAGAATCATATGGAACCCACGCTGCTGGAAAAATAAAACGACACACTGGATGACCTCTTAACATCAATTCATATGCGAAAACATATATCACTCAATCAATTATTTAGATGAACACTTTCTAAATAGTGGCAAACACTGTTATGTTAATGAATCATTAAACAGAAAAACAGTTAAATAACAGACTTTAAACTGAGTAAAAGTAATTTTAACAATTTATGCAAAAAGCATAATTTGTTATGGATATATTTTTACGTCCTAATTTTCAATTGCAAATGACGTACTATAAACAATATAAATACTTCTATCTACTGTTAGGGGTTATTAGCTCCTTATACCTAACTGTATATTTTAAAGTCTACTTTATACGGTGCATTTCGCCGATCAAGCGCATTTAAAATATTGAAAATCAATCAAAAATATCATGTAAACACGTCTAAAAACGTCTCACATATAAATGCCAATTTAAATTGTATATCCATTATTAATTATTACGATGTGAATAGTCCTATTTTTAAAACATTTTTAGCTCATATACTTACAATAACGTAAACCATTATTTAATCGTTAGCTATAATTGAGTAATTCGAGATAAATGAATTCCTCAACATGAAAACTATTTAGACAATATGTATAGTATAGAATAATACCGGTAATCTCTGTAAAAAAAAAAAAATCAAAAAGTGTCATACTTCATCATTATTATGAAGCAGTTGAAGTAAAAGTGGTCGACATACTCATAAAACAACTGGAAACATAAATTTCCTAGCTATATTAAAAAAAAAACACACACACACAACGACGGTTAAAATAATGGTGGTGACAGCCTACACACAGATAACCAGCGTGAGCTCGAACGATTTAATGGTGATAGGGATATTAATGAAGATAATTGTGATGATGAATCTTACAAATTAGTAGCAAGTTAATAGTTGACCTATTATGGAAGGCAATTAATTTAATTATAGCATTTGCAATTTTATTATGTAGGCCTAGGGAAATGCCTTTTAGCATGGGCCGAGTCAGTCCGATTAAGAAGTAGGAGCGGGGAATCGTTCGGTCGATAGAGAGTATACATTTACAAAATGAAATTAATATAAAATATTAATCTTACGTAATTTACGGTAGCACATCAATAATTGACCTACAATGTCCTTAATAGATCCTTGGGTCTAAATTTATGCTAACCATGACCAGGAAGGAGAAACAAATTTGTAGTTTGTTATTGAAGTAATTAAGAAAAGAAAAATATAATAAATAATATAGTCAATTCTGTATGATTTTCACAAGCCGAAGTTTGAACATATGATGTTTATTTTGATAAATTTGAAATTAAAAAGCTTTTTTTTTTTACTTTTTCACGTGTCTGACGAACTACTGCAATAGATATCAATTGTAACCCTGAAGAGGGGAGCAGGCGCTCCCGAAAATTTGGTTTTTTAAATAAAATATATGCTTCAAAGTAGTCACCTTGTGAAGAATGTTCTTTCTGTTCTGCTTACTTAATGTATATATATATTGAAGCATACGTGGATTGGATATCTTTTGATCATCACCAACATGTATAACGCAGCCTAAAATGTACTTACAGGTGCTACATTTGTATGTCGCTCAATAAAACTGTCGGAAGTTTAATTTATATCGCAGCCTAAAATGTACTTACAGGTGCTACATTTGTATGTCGCTCAATAAAACTGTCGGAAGTTTAATTTATATTCAAAAGTGTAATGGTTCACCACAGGTCAATTAATACAAACTTATGGTCTTGTATTTTTAACTTGTCGACGTAAGAGAGCTGAACTCAATGTAGTAATTATCATGACATTCCTGCCCGGTGTCGAACCAAAACTGTTAGCACTGTGGCAATGACGTTTAGAAACGAAAAAAAAAAAAACAATAACACAGGTGTGAAATACAATCACTAATTATGTTTATTGTTTTTCATTTCATTATTTTAATATTTATCAATTTCTTCATTATATTTTTAATATTGTTTTTACTTGTATTTTAATTCTACATAGGTTTGATTAAATTTTAGAGATTCATTTCTTGTGTTGCTTATCTTAATGTAAGATAAGGATCATTAAATAAAGACCATCATCAGTCTCATCATCATCATCATCATCATCATCGTACTCATCATAATCATCATCATCATCATCATTATCATCGTCGTCGTCGTCATTATCACCATTATTAATATTATCTTTATCTCAGTTGGTGGAGGGGGTTATGATCCCCTAGAAGCGTAAAGCCTTGTTCCTTAAAATCGCTGCACTGTCGCTACAGTTTTTTTCAGTGCAATCGTAGCAGCCCCGACGCAATCGGAAAAGCTCCCCGATTCGAACGATCAATCTGCATCACACCGAAAGTTGGCGGCGATAGTGTGTTGCGATTGTATGGAAACCAAGCTTTGGTGAGTTTCGTCGAGGTCGCTCAGAACCACAAGGAGGGGTCCGAAAATAAAATCCCTTAAAATCTCCAACAAAAATCATCATGATCATCATTATAATCAATGAATCGACCATTCCAGTAAACAATTTCGGCATTAAAAGGCAGATCAAGCGGATAATTTAATATTATGCTTAAAAGCTTGATTATCATCCGTCCAGGAATATTTGTTTAAATGCTATAAATGTATAATCAGTTGTGTCGCCTGTCTTACGCTCCATTTAGCATTCCTTGTTGCAAAGATGAAATTTCATAAATAAGAATTAGCGTGGATCCTTACAATATGTTTTTATTTTTTCTCTGCCAACAATGTCTATCAGTAAGTATAACTTATTTGCATGGGCAAGCATTTAGCGTTAAATAATCGGTGAAATATTTCAAAACGTAAAAGGATAAGGTGTAGAGTACTATGGCCTCTGGTTAACTAAGTTTACTTCAAGTATTCTGAGCCAGCTGTCC